TTGTTCTAGCTTTGCGTTTGGCTTATTCTTGTTTTTCTAGAACCTTAAGGTACATCATTAGATTATATACTTGAGCTTGCTCTGTTTTTTGTGACATGGGAACTCACCACTATAAACTTCCCCTGGAGGACTGCTTTCATAGGTTCTGGTGTCTTGTACTGTTACTATCATTTGATTGTAAGAAATGTTAATTTCTTCTTTAATTTTCTGTGTGACCAATCGATTATTCAAGAGGGTTTACTTAATTTTCATGGTTTCGCCTAGTGTCTCTTGTGGGGTTTTTTGCCACTGATTTCTAGTTTCATTGCACTGTGATCTGATAATATACATGGATAATTGTGATTTTTTTGCATTTACTTAAGCATACTCTATGGGTTAATACACAGTCAATTTTGGAGAAAGTCCACGTGCTGCTGGGAAGAATGTGTATCCTGTTGATGGATGGAACACTGTAGATATCTATTAAATCCATTTGTACAAAGTTTGGTTTGACTCTGATATTTCTTAGTTGTTTTTTTGGGTCTGATTGATTTATTTGGGACAGTGGGGTATAAGCTGCATTGGTGCTTATCTGATTTTTTATGTTTATTAGAGTTTGTTTTATGAAGTTGGGTGTGCTGGTATTTGGTGTGTATACATTTATGATTGTTATCTCTTCCTGTTGAATCATTCCCTTAACCAGTATGTATTGCCTTCTTTGTCTCTTCTGAGCAGTTTATGGCTCGAAGTCCACTTTGTTTGCAATTAGAACAGATACTCCTGCTTTTTTCCAGGTGCCTGTTGCAGTGGAATATTGTTTTCCATCCTTTGGCTTTCAGCCTATGAATTTCTTTTTGGGTTAAACCTATTTCTTGTTTTTTTTTTTTTTATTGGTACCAGGGATCGAACTCACTACTGTGCGCTTGCAAGGCAGGCGCTTATGCCGCTGGGCTAAATCCCCAGCCCCCAAACCTATTTCTTGTATCCAGCATATTGTTGGATCTTACTTCTTTTTCTGTTCTGCTAATCTATGTCTTTTGAATGGTGAGTTGAGACTATTTCATTATGATTATAACTGATAGGGCTTGTCATTATATTATTTTTCTGCTGTTGGTTCCCTTTCGTTTTCATTTAATTGATCACCTTGCTTGGTACATTCATTCTATCAGGCTTTTTGACAGTCTGGGACCGTGCTGGGGTGCTTGTTCCGTGGCTTCTGTGTTCCGGGCCAGCGCCTGGGACCCCGTGGTCCTGCGGGCATACAGGACCTGTGCTAGGCCTTGCTGTGATGCCCTGTCTGCGACTCAGCTGACCTGTGGACTACAGAGCTGGGTCCAGTGGGTCTGCGTGCGCCGGCCTGTGATCCAGCAGCCCTCTGGACGAGAGGGCAACTTAGGCAGGGCGCAGAGTGCAGGCTGCTGGACAGCAGGTTCAGGAGCAGGAATCTGCTCCTCTCTGCAGCACTAGATTGTGCCTGGAGTTTTCCCCGCTATCCAAAAGGGCTGCGCCCCAGTGAAGCCAGGGCGCAGGGGCCAGCTGAGTCGTCCGTGTTGTGCTGCTGCCTTTTAAAAAATCATTTCCTTTTTGATTGTGTATTTCAACACGAAAGCCCCTCTCGCATCTTCCGAATACCTTTTTCCTCAGTGGATCTGCCCTAATATTGGACTCCCCTTCCCACATTCGTTTAAAGGAAGCCTTAAACAGTTTATTCCCTATTTTTAGCTGTGTTTTAATTTGAGGAGTCCCTCATAATACTTAAAAAAGATGTCCTCCCTCTCAACTTTCTGCCATATGAGGAGTTCTAAGAAGGGAGGACTGGGAGAAAGTTTGAAAAGTATCCTGTAATGACTAGTTATATTTTGAAGGGAGAATCTAAAGGATAATGACACAATGGGGCCCTTAAGGCAGTGAGCTTTTGTGCATAGGTAAAATTAGCATTCACAGGGGATGCATCTTGTGGGTAGGGTGTGTGCGTGTGTCCCTGTTTATGTACTATGGTTGCATCCACCATTTTTCTAAATTAGAATCATTCCTGTTCAGGAGGTGTTTCCGAACTATGCAATGCTCTTATTAATACGATAAATGGCAACTTCCAGTTTCTCATTCCAGGCATTTTTGAGCAGACAGGAGACTTCTACCCATTTAAGGAAATAGCATGGCACTGCCCAAAGAACTCTGGCAATGAGGTCAGGACACCCAATATCCTCCCTTTTCTCCTTCACCTTCAAACAAAGGGAATTAAAAACTGGCAAAGAGAAATTGGTAAGAGCTAAATGGACCACCTTTAAATTTATCATAAAAGCAGCTAGCTATGTGAAGGTATGTTCGGGTTTGGACGTTATAACTCAATCCCAGGCCAAGTCTCCTGGACTTGAATTTTCTGAGAGTTTTGCTGGTATAAAGGCAGAGTGAGGTAATCTGATTTTCAGGACTGACTGTATTATGTTCTTCCATGCTATACTCTATTTCTCTGCTTGCACATTTATTTTTAGGTATGGATACCATCTGCAAGTCCAGAACTATTATTTGAGGCCCTTGGCTCCCATCAGATGTGTAATATCAATGACAGCTGTGTTGTGTATACAGCTCTCATAGCAACCAAGTGCAGTTGCCTGCCAGCGAAAGCTGGCTGCGGCCTCCCCATTGACTATGTAATGCATGATCCATCCATAAGAGTTTGGCAGGAATGTTTGAGAGGGGCACAGAGCGGGTGATGGGATTGGCGTCCTGACTATGATCAGACTTTCTGGATGTCCCCACACAGGGTGGGTATGTCTTTTAGAGGGGCTTGAAGGGGTTAGGGGTATTAACTTCTACCTCCTAGTGTGCCAACAAATTCAGGCTCTTACTGGCTAGACTTTGCCTGGCATCTTGGTTATGGTAGGATAGAAACCAGGAGGGAAGAGAGAATCGTGGTGAGGAGAGAAATGCTGGTCTTGGATGGCATGCTGGAAAAGTTACTGTCCCTTATCCTTCTCACAGCCGAGAAAGAAGAATCATTGTGGGTTTTGAGGGAGACACCACACCAGTATGTATGACCAAGTAAGAGCTGAAAAATTTCTGTGGCTGGATCACTAAGAATGATGGAATTGTTGTTTTAACACTATTCATAAATGCAAAGCCTCTCTTGGACACCTGAATTTCTCATTAGTTGGCACCCACTGTTCTATGGATAATTTCCACAGAGCAAAAAGAATTCATACTGTCTGTTCCCCAATCCTTCCATTGCCCTTTCCTTCAATCTGGTACAATGGGTTACTTCATGAAGGCAGGAAAATGAGGCGTAACATTGATATAGGTTTCAAAGAAATATTAGACTCAGAAAAATAACGAAACATTTTTGTGCCTTTGGAATAGTAGCATAGTTCATTCATCCCACCAAATCTGGGGATTAATGGAGTAAGATTCTCGTAGCAAATCTGGTCTAGGTGTCTCACTACGAGCTCTGGGAAGCATTAGCCTTTCCATCCCATTTGTTTTTCTGCAAACAAAGTCCACAGAGTGGAGTTTCCATGTGGAGCAGGGTCTCTATCTCCCCGAGAAGAGCAAAATAGCGTGGCACGTTGCTGCCCAGTGATCTCTGGCACATGCGTGCTCTGGGCAGTGGTGACTTGGCCCCTAGACATTTGCATTGTAGGTGTAGCAGGTATCAGGCTGACAATACAAACTGTGTCCTTGTTGTGGATCATAAGCAGGGTCCAGGGCCTGAGAAGTGTGCAGGACAGACAGGTGCGAAACCATGTGTGGCAGCTTTTCTCCAGTTTGAATGCCCAACACATATCACACAACTGGCCTCGTGCAGTGTGGTGCTGAAAAATATAACCCTTGAAAGAGGATTCTGTGGTCCAGCTGCTACAGGAAAAGCTACTATGCAAAGTTAAACTGGAAACTTTATGAAGGTCTCCTCCCAATTGTTTAGTGGCTAACATGTATTGTGCAAAGCTTTATCTCCACTGAGGTGACCTTGGGACTCTGTTAGTTTTGAACTTATCCCAGCACATGCCCCCCGGGAACCTCTGGTTTGCTGGAGACTGTGGAAGTTGGAGTGGGGAGTGCTCTCATGTCTACAACTGGACGATAGCAGCCTGCTGACAAAGAGTGGATGGGCAGAGACGAGCAAAGCTCCAAGTGCCTTCCAGGGAGGTGCAGTCACTACATTCCCAGTGATCTCCTTAGATCCTCTTTTCTATCTACAGATTAAGCTTGGACTGGGCAGGAGTAGAGCTGTTAGGGCAGCTGCGCTTTCTGAGGCCACAGCACTTAAGCGCATGAGTTTTTGCTACTGGATCTTTGGGATCCACAGCTCTCGGAGTGGAATTCTGCAGGTGACCATCTCTAGGCGCAGGCTGACCAGTGCTTGCCTACGCTGCCTACTGTACACTGCCTGTTGTAGGGGCCACGTCAGGGGTCTTGGGTGGGCCAGACACAGGGGCCCGAGTCATAAAAGGAGCCTCTCAATTTTGAGGGGATCTCAATGAAGGGACCACCCCTCAACTTTTTCATTTTCCTGTTGAACTCTCTCAGGCTGGCAGCCCCAAGTTTTTTATTTCCTGCACTAATCCCTTGCTAAGTCTAAGGAACTCCTGTTTAATATTCTTTAGAAATGCTGCTGGGGGTGTTGCTCAGTGGTAGAGTAATTGCTTAGCATGTGTGAGGTGCTGGGTTCATTCCTCAGCACTAAAAAAATATGTGTGCATATATATAAAAAAGGACTTGGCCACCCCAGCCCACCTGATGGGGGTCATGGTATTGCCCCGTTTACCTGCGTAAACCTGCCTGAGATGGTACCTAATTTAGCAGTCATTCTTGTTCACAATTGCTCAATCATCAATTCTTTAAAATGCAGGTTATGCTGGTGTCTGGTACCTGACAGTTGACTTACCTGAGAGAAACAAGGTAATTCTCTTTGGTCTTTTGATGTAATCATAATTTAGCAGCAAGTAGTGATATTTTGAAATACTGCCACTTTGGAAGTCCAGACCAGGTGACTGAGTTAGGGGACATGGATGACAGAAACCACAACCATTTGGCTCTATTTTATTACAAAACAAAACCAAACAAAATTTTGCAGTGAAATTTCCTGGAATTCACAATCCTTGTGTTAAAATCTTTAGAGTTGCAATATATTTTTTTAACCATACAGAAGAACACCATTGCACTATTTACATGATAGTCTTCTATATAACAAAAATAGTCATGTTGTACAATTGAATGTTTCCAACTGTCATCCTCAATGTTGCATTGCTAGCCCGGTATGAGACAAAAACAGTTTATGCTCTCCAAACACGTAGAAAACAGAAGAAAGCAAAAATAAAAGTCTGTGTCTTCTAATAGAAGATAAATTCCTTTAAAGACAGGTTTTGTTTTCAAATTTCTTTGTATTTTTAAGAGATATAAAGTGCTTTGAAAGGACCAGAGTTGGTGCCTGAGGTGGAGGAAGAGAAAGACTTACACCGAAAAAAATCGGACACACACACTGCCTTAACTAATTCTTTAAATGTGCACGTGACTTTTGTACAGAAAGTGATGTGGTGAAATGACTGTATCATTTGCTACTACATTATTTCAATAATCAAGAGTTCTCCACAGCCCAAATTCAAAACTCCCCATGCAGATATCATTGGGAGTAGCTTTTGATGATCTCTGGGGTCAGGCGGCAAAAGAATCAATGCTGTGATGTGACCATGGTGGAGACGAACAATGCCGAGACGGAGCCATCGTATTTATTACCTGCAGACTGGCCAGAGACAGCTTTTGGGGAAGCTAAGTAAAATACCAACTGTGACAGCATCCTTCCTCATAATTCATGTTAGGAAAGCAAAATGAAGCCACTGGATTTCCCCCTTGTTAGCAGGGAGATGCCAGAGATTGATTTATGATGTCGGGACTGCTAGTTTTATAACTGTAAATTACATTCTTTGCAGACTTTCTTTTCCAGTGGGAAATAATGCTGTGCTCTACAAAAGTGTTCGTGTAAGTTAGTTTTTTTGTCACATTTTTTAAAAAACTGGCATTTGCTGGTTCTGGTCTGCAGTCTACAAAATTGGCGTCACATACGTACTACTTGGGAGACTCCCCTGGAAACTAGAATCATCCTCCTCCAAGCTTGTGAACACTTTAAGAAACAATATCGGTTTATTTTTGAAAAGGAAATGGATGGAATGTAACTTTTCACAAATACAAAATTACTTCAAATTTTCTAAATATAAGGAACATCCCACTATAAAAATAACAGCCCCTTCTAACCTCTCCCACCCCTAAAACTCTAATTATAAAATGGTACAACTATCTCAGATTACTAACGTGAAAGCAGGAAGTAAATATATTATGTACATGTACAAAACACATCAGCATTTCACACCATTTACATTCATATGAAAGAAGAAGTCCTTTTTATTGATCTTCTTTGTGATTTCACAAGAAGAAAGCCAAGATAAGCTACACATCAAGCCGACCTCTGCTTATAACTCATCACACGTATTTCAGCCCGGAACTCTTTGCAGAGCAATAGTGTGTGTCAACATTTTGCAGAAAAAAGGGCTGGAGCTCTTTTGTGAGGTCTCTTTCAACTCTTCAGAGTTAGTGACATTCTTTGCTCTTTTGATAAACATAGACCAAGTTCTTAATGATGCAGAAAACTGTATGATAAAAGGCAAATGAGTTGAAGAAATGATGACCCAAGTAAAAACTGATTTGCTGGAAGAATGGGATTATTCCAGTAGGGGGTGCTGTTCACCTTTCAATAACATTTACTAAACGTGAGTCCCGTAGAGGCCAACTCAAATTCAGACTGCTGAATCCACGCTAGCCATTGTTTAATCGCTCTGCTGTCTATCAGTAGGCAACAGTTTGGTATTTTCTTCAGAGAGCACGATATACTACAATTGAGCTAGCTCTTATACATGAAAATTCTTTGGCTATTTAAAATCTTCACATTCTCAAAGAGAACAAAACAAGAGTTCAACAAAGCACTAGACTTGTCTGAAAGTTTTGAAGAAAAAGGGGGCTAACCACTGGGCTTTTGAAATCGTGTGGTACTAAGGCCACAGTTTACTTATTTGAGATTTCTGGCTTTAGTAAGGTCAGTGAACAGCCTGCAAATGAAAACCCCCTCAGGTTTCATGCAACCACGAGACCCATGTTCACTTTCATTTGTGAGAACATTAGGAGAAAATTCAGCTGGTTGATGGAAGAAATGTGTCCATCTGGATGGCGATCAGTCTTTGGTTTATACAGCACACATGGCCCTTCGATATCCTCTGCTTTCGCAGGGCCATGGACATTCACCGAACAATGACTGTGGGTGACTCAGGGTGAGTTCTCTTCTGCATGGAGTTTCTCTCCCTCTGATCAGACCCACAGGCTGCATAAGAGCTGTACATTCTTGTCTAAACACTGTGACCAGTGACTGTGTAGTGGGTGGTTAGACAGCAAATGGCTCTGGAGTAAGTACAAACACCAAGGGTAGCCCAGGATTAGAAGATTCTTGATTGCTGAGGCTCCATAAAAATCCCCCAGAGTATGAAGCACTCAGGATAGGGAAAGAACTATGACCAACCTTAAGCAGGTTTTTGTAGAACACACATATTTTACATTTAAAGGGCTTGGTAACCACGGGCCACATTTAGGGTCTGGGTTCAGTTCGTTAGTTCTAGGATGCTAAGTAAGGGCCCTCAAAAGGCTCCCAATAGAGGAAGATTGCCACTGATCTCTAAGTCTTTAAACATGGCTGGTGGCTGTTCCTACTACAAAGAGCCTGCAGTTGGGAGGTGTGGAGAAAAGCAGGGCAAGGGAAGGGCTAAGGGTGACGAGAAATTCATGCCTGTTTCTTAGAATTTACTTCTGCAGGCTACGCATACCTTCTTTGCAGTCATGAGTGGTACAGTATTTGATTCCTTAGACAAACTGCCCCATCCATATCAGTTCTCAATCTGGGGAGCACGGGCTTTTCATTAGGGAGTGCATCTGTGTGTCCGGCCCAGAAGCTATGAGCCCTGCTTCACCCAGCTCCCTGACCAGCCCTGCATCCCTTCCCTCTGAGACAGAATTACCAAACATGCCTCTCAGTCCCTGCCCTGACACCCAGCACTGCATGGGGAAGCTTCTGGCCCACACCTCTAGAGGACAGTCTCCTCGCCCATTTGGCCCCCAGGTCACTTACAAGGAGCAAGCAGGCTTTGTGCAGAGCTGTTAAGCAGTCACCAGGCACAAGATGCACAAATCCTGACCCTGGGGCGTGTGGAGAACCTGGATGGTCACATATTCTGTCAGTGGAAGAGACGAGATCTAGGCAGCACTTGAGAATGGTGATCTTGCCATTTTTGCTTAGGAAACTGCCAATGAAGTTGAAAAATTGAAACAAAACAAAAAGGCAATAGCTATGGTTGGCTTGAGATAAACCAGTGATAAAAGCAGCAAAAATGAAACTGGATGTGGTAGCACATGCTACCACTCTCTGGGAGGTTGAGGCAGAAGAATTGCAAGTTTGAGCCCAACTGAGGCTCAACTCAGTTGGGCAACTCGGTGAGTTTGCTAGATTTTGCCCCCTCACCCGAGAGGAGGGGATAGAGCTCAGTGTAGAGGCCCTGAGTTCAATCCTCAATACCTAGGGGGGAAAAAAAGTAAAAATGAAGGTGACTGGCTTGGGAAAGAATTTAAGTTGCCTTGATGGTAAACCAGTTTTCCTCATCAGAAGTACAGTTTTTACTACACAATACAGAGAAAACATCAGTGAAACAGTAAGCATGATAAAGATGGTAATTCTATATTTACGGAAACACCAGTTTTGGTTTTGTCCTGAAGGTTGAGAGGTTCTTGTGAGAAAAGAAAATGAAGAAATAACAAAATAAAATAAGGAGCAAAACAGAGGAGGAAGGGTAGATGGGAGAAGTATGTGTGTGGATACAGAGATGGGGAGCTGAAGAAAGAAAAACAGAGTATAGGAAGGAAATCCAAGTAAGAGAATATAAAAATGCTATTGAAAATTGCCTCAGTGGTCCTAATACCACGGAAGACGGGCTCTAGCTCCACAGAGAATCTGTATCTCAGATCCTTCCTTGTTTTCTTTTCTTTTCAAATCCATCCATCCTTTTTTTGGAGACAAGGTCTCACTATGATTTAGGTTCCCCTTGAACTCACTATTTGGCCCAGGCTGGTCTCAAACAAACTCACCCCAATCCTTCCAACTCAGCCTCCTGAGTGCTGGGATGATAGACTATGCCACCATGCCCTGCCCATAGCTTCTGAGTTTTGATTCAGTGAGATGTCTTTGTCACAGTGCCGTATTCTATGGACAGTGGCTCTGTGAGAGTTTTCTGCCTAAGTCAAAACTCACAGTGCATTCTGTTGGTTTATCTGTCATCCTTGGGGTTTTGAAGGTGTGGCAGCTGTGGGGATGGCAGGCAAGCAACTGAAATGGGCAAGAGTCTCCTGGCTGTTGAGACCTGAGACTGTCTACAGATGCTTCACCACAGTGAAAAATGGGGATTTAGCTCAGTGGCATAAGCACCTGCCTTGCAAGCAGGCGACCCTGAGTTTGATCCCCGGTACCGATAAAAAAAAAAAGCAAAGGAGCAAATAAAAAACAAAAAAAGACCAAGACCTGCCTCCAGTCTTGAGCACTAATGACCATGTGAAGTCAAAGTAGTTAGATGCCTCTGGTACTTTACAGTTCTTTCTTTCCTGATGGTCTACCTCTCCCTTTTTCTAGATGAGCAGAGTCAACCTTGCAGGGGTGATCAAATCCTGAAGAATTACTTCTCAAATGCTGCACTTGTCAATAATCAGGGCTCAGTGCTTCCAAAGGACTAGCCACACAGGAGGAGGTAGGAATTCCCAAAAGTGACCTTAAATTGTTCAGAGCCAATGCAAATGTTTTTTCTTCCCCACCACATGGGGTGGTGACCAATGCTGATGCTGAGCGGAATGCTGGCTGTTGGAGGTGGTTGTAATTTACCAACGGGAGGCTGATACCCCGAAGGTTCTTTCTTAGTAAGGCCACACAAAATTTTGTGTTGGACATCAATATAATTTCTTAAGTCTTTTCCTCCCCAGTTCATGAGTTTTAGCGAGAGCTATGTGGTTAGGGAACATTGGGACTAGGCAGAGACCTTTAAAGAAGAGCCAGAAGGTTAAGGTCAAGTTGGATGACTTCAGTCTAGAGTTCTCTCTGGCTCCTTAAGTTGCCACATACCAGTGTAAGGGTTTGTTATGGAAGTAAGGATAATTTTGCTTCAGCACCAGATCAACAGGGTTTGCAGGACTTTTGGAAAGGTGACAAGTCAGACAAAGAACAACTGATGAGATTGGACAACAGTGGTTAAGAAGGTTGAAGCAGAAATTTCCAAGAGGGCTGCTTGAGTCTTTATTCATTACAAGAGAAATGAATGCCTGGCCCTGTCCTCAGGCGACTTGGGTGGTGTCTAGTTCTTTCTGGAGGTAATTACAGTTGCAGCCTTCCTCTTCTGTAAGGACTAGGGATTCTCCTCAGAAGGCTGGAGGAGCTCTAGACCTGTGCCCCCTAGTGGGTATCTCCTAGACACATGGGGCGAGTGAGTGCTTACGGAGCGGCAAGCCCAAAATGAGATGTGTTGAGAGGGCCAATGAAGTTAGAAGACTTTGCACAAAGAAAGGGTGGAGAACATCTCATTAGCACTTTTTATATCAATTACATGCTGAAACAATAGTATGAGGTTAAATAAAATATACTATTAAAATTATGTTACCTGGGTCTTTTTACTTCTTGAAATGTGGCTAGTAGAAAATTTAAAATTACATATATGATTTGCTTTGTATTTCTAGTGGACAGTGTTGGCATAGACCTTGTAATATACATTTGTGCGGGCACACAGTTTGCAACTCTGGGTTACACATTCTTGGACACTCTTGTGTGTATCCACTGGTCTCCAGGTCATATGGCATCTCTCTCATCTTTGAGGGGAGGTGGCAAAGAAGGCCACAGAGAAGGGCTTTTTCCATTTTTATTTTGGAAAGACTGAAACTTTTTGCTTAAAAATGTTTTTTGGACTACCAAGGCCATAGTAAACTTTAAAACCCTCTGGTAAGGGAAATAGGCTCAAGGAGTTCAAAGTGGGACCTCCTTCGGGTCAGATCCACAGGCCTCAGAGCAACCTCCTGGACCCCTCGCCATCTACAAAAACCTACAATTCATATTTTCTTTGCTGTCAAATTATCCTAGTTCCGTTATTCTTAATGCCAAAATTTGTTTGGGGGTGGAGCTGGTGAAAGGGGAAGTAGGTGGCGAAGACCAGAGCTGACTAAGAAAAGAAACACTTTTGAGAATTCGACACCGAGAACTAGGATTTGAAGGCATCTAGAGACTGCAGATTCTAACAGCAGCTTTGAAACAAGGCAGAACCAACCAACTCCTACTTGGATTTAAAACTGGAATCATCTAGATCTTCACTGTCAGCAACGCAGGAGTGCCAAGTTGCAAAGGCTTCCTCTGCCTCCCCCAGCTATGACGTCTGCTGCTGCCTGCAAAAATGCTCCCTGGCAAATGGTCATCTGTGATCCTAAAGTTTGAGGGAGCCCTGGAAACGATCATGCTGAATTCTTCACTTTACAGCTGGAGAAATTGAGGCCTCCAGAGGGTGTGGCCCAGCGAGGACTTCAGTTCCCTGATTTAGCGGTCTCTTGGTTCTTCCCTGCCTACCTTCTCCTCCTCAGAGACTCAATTTCATTCAGGGAAACACTCTAGGAGGTGATAAAAGAGCAACCAGTGTTTTCTCTGACCCACGAGCCACGTTTCAGCAGGGACCAAACTCTGTGTGAGGGAGTATTAGTGTAATGAGGCAGAAAAGCCCTCAGCAGACACACAAATGCTGCTCAGTCAGAAAAGCTCTCTCTCGTGGTTAATCCAAGCAGTGGCTTGGCACTCGCCAGCTATTTAGAGATGATACGGTGACCCACCTGACTGTCCAGATGCAGGTCACTGCCTGAGTCACCCCTGCATCTGGAGAGTCTTGAATGTGTTACAAAATCGTCTCCTGGAAAATAGAATGTTTCTATCGTCATTACAATAACAACAACAACAAAAAGGAGTAAAAAACATAAACAGTTTAAAACCACAAGTGGGTGTTAATATGCATTGGATATTTCTTTTCCCAATTTTTCCCCACTCCAGGTTTCTGGACACTCAGGAAGCGAGAGTGCTTCCTGTGAGACGTGTGAGAAGCGAGCTGCTGAGAATTCCTTTGAACCTTCTACATGGTCTAGTGAGGTTTAACTTAAGGGTGGGGACCAAGGTAAAAGTCGTGCGACTGTGACCTCCACTGTATTTACCACTGGGCTCAAACAGGATCGCATGGTTTCTAAAGCCTCTATCCCCGGTGGAACCCACACGTGGAGGTGACAGACTGCTCCAGCCTTGGGGAACCAGTGCCCAGGCCTTCTGCTTTCAAAGGGAAGAAGATGTTACAGTATTAAGTTTTCAGTCAAGGCTTGCAGCCCCAGACATTGCTCCTGAAGATCAGTGTTCCCGCCTTTGAGGGATCTTGTGAATTCAGAATTTCAGCCAAAGACCCCAAGACCTATACGAGCGGGGGTGCTTCTCCGAACTCCCTCCTCATGTCATGGTAAGCCCTTAACAGAGCCTGGCAAATCCAAGCCAGCGGGATGTAGCTTAAAATAATGAGTAATGGCCTCGGCAGATTCAGAATTTAGTGTTAGGGTCTCCGGTATCTCGAATTTTCAAGGTCCATCTAAAAGAACTTCGGTTCTTAATGAAAGCTGGTCTTGAACTGTTTCAAGGTGCAGAGGCACTTCTCAAAGCCATGCACACTTCATGCCGAGAGGGAGGTTAAAACCTCAAGTCTCAGAGATGGAATACAAACTGATCGTAGCAGGAACTGGCGCTTCTAAACAGAACTCTACCCAGGAGTGAGCCAGAGGAAAAACAGAGGAGCAGATGTAAACTGTACAGTCTTTAAAAGAAAATTCAAACAAAGAAGTCAAACAGTCTCCCCAAAACATGAACAATGAGACCTGGAAAATTTGAAATAAAACTAATTCCCTGCAGTCTCTGTTCTAGGAGCTGCTGGAATACATGTGTGTGAGAACATGGATGGGAAACCCAGTTTTCAACTTCCAAGCTGCCACGGCCATAGACTACTGTAGCGACGGCAGGACTGCGTCCTGATTAGTGAGACTTTGGATATTGCTTTTCATTACCATCTTGAACACCGCGTGCTGGAGTTCCAAGGTGATCTGAAGTCGTGGCGCACTCCTCCCTTTGTCCCCTTGGGTCCTACTATCTCTCTTTTCTACACTCGCCATTTCAAGATTTCACCTCTTCACAGTCTTGGTCAGTGGAGAGTTCCACGTCAGATAACCCCACTTCCATGGCCATAATCAACGAGATGTCGGAATCGCTGCTCACGGCAGGCTCCTGGTCACCTGGGAGGAGAGAGCAGAGGTCATGAGGAAGACTCGGTTATGTCTTTGAATGCTGCTTATTTCACTGTAATTGCCCCTACTAACATTTCTCTAAAGGCCACATGAAGGTATTAGAAAAACTTCCTCTCTAAAAACCTCAATGTGACATCTCAACCTAGCACCCCAAATAAATTCTCTAAATGGATCAATAAGCTAAATGTAACTAACAACAGCACCAACAAGAAAAACAAGCAAAGCTACAAGAAAATATATTATCTAACTTTCTTAATGGAAAAATACACAATGGATATATCTAAGAGGAGAAGAAAAGAGCAGTTTACAGGAGAAAAGATGGATAAATGTGCATAACATTAAAAATGTTAAAAACATGTAAAATCAGAAGGCATGGATCAGACTGGGAAATCTGAAAAAACTTTTGCAAATTATTATATTCTTAACATCTAGCAAGTTTTTAAGTCTGTAAGAAAAATATTCCAAAAGAAACACAGGCAAAAAGCTACTATTACATGATTCATAGGAAAATATAAGGGGCTAATAAAAGGAAAGTAAAAATGAGATAGCCTTTTGGGATAAAAATGAAATATTCCTTTTATATATATCCTTTTTGGAGATATATGTAGGACCTTCACACTTTAAAAATAAAAGATAGTGTTAACAATACATTGTACGGAGCCAGGTGTGGGGGGTGCACACCTATAATCTAGCATCCTGGAGGCTGAGGCACAGTTGCCATGAATTCAAGGGCAGCCAGGGCTACACAGTGAGTTCATGGCACCCTGAAGGACACAGTGAGAATCTGTCTCCAAAGAATCCATATACAGTCTGTCATACACTGCATGTAAAACTGTGAAATGTTCTTTTTTATTGAGACATGTTTGTACATCTTTATGAAGTACATTATGGAATTTAATACACATATACACAAAAAAAAAATCAAACCAGGGTAGTATATCTTTAATCATACTTAGGAGTTGGGAGCTTTACACATTTGCAGCCATTTTGGAAGTTATCATAGATTGCTTTTAACCATTTGTTACCCTACTGTGCTTTAGATAAACCGGAAGTAATTCTCTGCTCTGTGCTTTGGGCCCTTTACTGAACTTCCTGTGCCCCTCTTCCTGCCCTGCCCATGCTCGAGTGACCATTAGGCCTTGCCATTCTTCTTCATGATTTGCTTATTCAACTGGGAAATTGTCACCTGGTGATTTTGTTTCCAGAACAAATAATTATTTTAGTCTTAATTTAAGCATTCTTATAATGGCAAAACTTTGTAATTAATGACCAACAACACAATATCTGAATAAACTGTTACTTTGAAAGGCATGTTCTTACAACCGTTAAAGTTTCCAAAGAATTTGTAGCTCACAATAGTGAATGCTTGAAAGTATTTCTGGTGTAAGACTATGATGCTTGACAGTGTTTTCGGCATAACAATATAATGTTAAGTGAAAACAGATGTACTGAAAGCTTTACACAAGTGGGTTTAATGGAAAAAGTTAACTGGAAGCAAAGAAACCCAAAATGCTAACACAAATTGTCTCCAGTTTTGAGATTTATATTCATTTTCTTTCTTTTTTTTTTTTTTTTTTTTTTTGCCTTTTTGAAACAAGGTCCCACTATGCAGTTCAGGCCTGGCCTTGAGCTCATTTTGTATCCCAGACTGGTCTCCAACTTGCAATGATCCTCCTACTTCAGCCTCCCAAGTGCTGGGATTATAGGCATGTGCCACCACACCTGGTTTAAGGTTTATATTCATTTTCTTTAAAAAAAAGTTTTTGGGCTGTACTTCCAAATATTCTGCCATGATCATATATCACGCATTCATTCAAAACATACATTCATGCATTTATTCAAGACATATTTTATTGCAAACCCACTATATGCTGAAGATTATGCTAGATGCTAGGGATCTGAGAACAAGACAATTTTGGTCTTCAAGGTGCTCCCTGTCCAGTGGGCAGGAAGACGGTGAGTATGGCAAGGGAAACCCCATGAGATAAGCACACTGATGTAAGACATGTCAGGTTGGGTTCTGCAGGAGCAGGTAGGAAGCTATAGGACCATAGGCCGGCTCATGGAAGGTGTTCTGTGACGTATTATAAAGTCTACACTGAGTCCTAAAGGCCAATCTGTACTTTAGTCAGATGAGTAAAACAGAATCCTCTCTTCTGCACTGAGAACGGCATGTGCAGATGAGAGATGGTGATAGGGGTTCTCGGGTCGGGGGACGGTGGTTTCTGGTCACATCCTACAACTCTTTCTCCTTTTAAATATGACTGGAATGCAGACAGGGTAGGAAGGCAGGATGGGGGAGGCTGGAGAGCTGGCCACATGAAGCAGCTTGAAACACAAAAGGTCTGGTACATTTTATTACCCTGAAGAAGAAATTGCAATTAAAAGAGCAACAAAAACGTCAAAGTTTGAAAGAATGATGATCACCAATATTTTTTTTCACTTTAAGGCAGTTAAAGAAAATACGAGTCTCACAAGGGTAGTGAATTTCTAAGATGTTTTAAGGAGGCAAACAAACAGAACCAACATGGTTATGAAGAATCGGTTTTAGAGGTGTGAATGTTTCGCAGGGAGAGGCTCCACCTGAAGCCTGAACTCTGGTGTTTTCTAGATCTGTAAGGGCTTGAAGCTCACAACGACATAAAGATCAATAGCCAGCATATAACGCTGGGGGCACTCTAGGGAGAGACAAGTATTTGCTTTTTGAAAATGGTGGTGTGCCAGAAATAGTTAAAAAGTCACACAGGGGGAAACAAATGAAATTGGAAGCTGACCTTGCACTTCCAGCACAGTGTTCTCTGAGCCGGATGCATGGCTGTGTAAACCCTTCTGCTTTTATTTCTGTGTGCCTGTTTCCTTTCCATATCCTTCCTCCAATGCCACGGGGTGGTGCTTTAACTCCAGACCTCCTGAGAATTCTGGGTGCAGACTGGAGCGGTTCTCTTTCCTAAAGCTTCGCAGGGAAGCTGCTATTGCGCAGGGCACCCCAGCACCTCGCCAGAGAACACACTACTGGGGTCGGGAACAGCGGTCATTGCTGCCCAGCAAGACACAGGGCAGGGCTGGTTCCTCTACTACGTCAGTGACACACATCTTTTTTTCCCCAGGTGCTCAGATTTTGTTACTGTTGCTTCTTTCATTTCTTGGTTAATGTTTGTCTTTAAAAATCTCTTCCCTATATAGTTTTTGGGAGATTTCAGAAGACACTGGAAATAGTTTTATGTATGATCTGCCTTTGTTACTTAGTAATTTTTTCTGGTAGTGGGCACTGAAACTAGAACTCTGAACTAAGCATCATCTCCAACTCTTAAATTTTGTTTTGTTTTGAGACAGATTCTTGCCAAAGCATTAAGATGCCCAGGCTGGCCCCAAAGTCCTCCTGCCTCAGCCTCCCAGGGTGCTGGAACTACAGGGTGTACCACCCAATTTTATCACTATTTTACTTAGACTATATTTCAGTACAGCTCCTTTGTGTAAGTCATGTTTTCCCCTAGGGCTAAAGTTTGGTTGACTATGGAATGAGAATTTGGGCTAGATCTACAGCATCCGTGCAGTTTTCCATATATGTATATACTGGTATCGATCTGGCATGATGTGGAGTCTCAGTAATTTTTAATAGGATTGGCACTGAGAAAAAAAGTTGTTACACTTTTTGCAACTCTTCAAATTGTTAAGTTTTCAATTATATTCTTAATAAAAAGGACTGTTTATTATAGAGCTATTGAAAGTATATATTTATGGGGGAATTCACTACTTAGGAGTATAACGAAAACTGAGATCTTATTCCTGGAGGTAAAGAATGAGGATCAGGTAGAGAATTTAATCTCTATTCACCCTTCCTCTTTCCTGTCTTGCTCAAGTTTGGGTCTGTAACACCAAAGTCCAGTGTGGAAGGCTTGGCTCAGCTTGGCTCTAGAACGGAACAAGCCCTGTAGGAGGTGTGGTCTAGCAGGAAGAAGTAGGGCCTGGGGCTGGGGACTCTGCTCATTCCCTGTGTCTTTCACATCAGAGGCCTCTTCAGCCATACACTCCTGGGATGGGCCAGTGGGTTATACACTGTCACCCCCAGAACTGTGACCCAAAATAAACCCTTCCCCCTTTTAATTGATTGCTATTTATTAGCACTATAGTAATGGCTCCATGCCTCCCCTTGTCCTCCTCTTTAATGGTACATCGGTCAACTTGGCTCACAAAGTCACCTTTGCAGCTCATAGTTAAACCGAAGTCAACCCAGGAGCTTACCATCAAGGAGTGGTTTTATGGCTGTCATAGGGATCTAGTAAAGAAGAAGTGACGAGAAGAGCCTGGCAGAGTCCTTAAAAGACAGAGCCCTTGCCCCTTGAGGTGGCAGCTGCTCCCCTTCCCACTCGACTCTGCAGCCCCCACACTCCACAGACTGCCTGTGTCTTCTCACCTGGGTGTTTTCTAAACAGTGAGGTGGGAACTGAGAAGGCAGGGAGGAGGCCAAGGTGGCTGTCACAGGGATGCTGATGCAGGGATGCTCAATGCAGGCGGAGCTGCTTTGGAAATGAAGATGACTGAGGGAAGAGATGAGCTCGTCGATAGTTTCTAGGGTGATTTAATTTCCACGTTGTCATATCGCACCCACTTCATCACTTCGTCTTCTATTTAAAAAATCAAACTCATTTCCTTCTAAAAATGATCTCAAGAAATTTGAAATTATGCTTCACTGTATCTTATATATGTTTAATTGAACTTCGTTTGTCCCATGACTTTTTAAAACAGAATTTTTGTTCTTTAATCAAGCAGATGTTTTTCTCTGAGGCTACAACACTGTGAATGAAAACTTTGTAGCTTAAACATTGAGAAGGTTCTTGGTTGCTGGTACTGTGAGGAGTGTAAGTAGCCATTACCAACATAAATGTTCTTTAAATTTTGCCTCCTTCCCTGCAAAAACTCATATAAAAGTTATGCAAAACTAATATTGGCTTCTAATGAAACTCTTTGATGTAGGTATATGATGATTC